GTCGGCGGCTGCAGCGTTAGCCATGCATCAGCGGCTCTGCCGACATGCACCAAAACAAAGCGCCGCCTGCTCGGTGTTCCCACACTGCCCCCTAATGCAGAGAGACCTCGGGAGCATGGGAGAACGGGGGGGGGCTCTGGAGCGGGGGGGCTCGGCTCCCCCTGACATGCCCCGTCTCTCCTCCCTGCAGCCCCGGGCACAGCTCTTTGGGTGAGGTCGCCCATGGTGGGTGAGGATGGTAAAGCCAGGGGCCGTGTTGTCCCGTTTCCCTCCTTGGATGCCACCATTTTCCCCCCTGCTCAGCTGTCCTGATGTCTCAGGGGGATTTGCCACCACTCCTCGAGTGGCACCAGCTATGGTCAGACAGCTTCGGTGAGGTGGCACGAGAGCTGCAAAACCAGGGCTGCCCTTCCCGAAATTCCAGGGCAGAGCTCAGTGTCAGCCTTGCACCAAGCAGGGTTTGAAGGACGGTGGCTTACGAGCTGGAGGAAAGGAAAAGCAAGCGTTGGAGAAAGTTGTTTTTTTTTTCTGGAAGTTTAGTAGGATGCCCGAGGCTTTTGTACCGAGCGTCTGGAGCATATGGTGGGATTTGCAGTCAGCTTTCTCTCGGGTGCTCCAGCCAGATGGAGGTGACTGTTCTTGGCTCTGGCTGACACGGGTTTGTTTCCTGAAGAGCTTGTGTTAAACATATTCCTTAAAACCAGGCTTCTGCAGTTGGGAGCCCCAGCTGCAGGAGAGGCAGAGCTCCTGCCCACGGCTGCCTTCCGCCGGCTGCGGGGGAACTTGGCCTCCCCTGCCCTGCCTTGCCTTGCTCTGCCTTGCCTTGCCTTGATCTGCCTTGCCTTGCCTTGTCTTGCCCTGCCTCACCTCACCTTGTCCTGCCTTGCCTTGTCTTGTCCTGCCTTGCCTTGCCTTGTCCTGCCTTGCCTTGCCCTCTCTTGGGACAACACCATTGGGTCCTCACCCTGTGAGGACAGTGGTCCTCCTCTCCAAAGGCACCTGGAGCATCTCTCCTAAAGGCTCCTTCAGGGATACTTTTAATTTTTTGGTTGACAACTTGCAAAACTTCCCTCTCCTTTGGTAAAAACAAAGCTGCTATCCAATAAACCCAGGCACGTCTTTGATTAATCTCCATCTAATTTATTTTAGTATTTTCTAATGTCAGAATTAGACAGGGGCAGGTATTTTCAAGCATGAGATGCCTTCCTGTTGCTAACTCTGAATTGTTAGTGTCTCATGGCAGCAATGCTTTGTCTTCTTGTACCATCCTGCATTGTTCTGCCACCCCCAGAGGTGCTTGAAAATGTTTTTAAATAGAAAAACTCCCCCATTAGCTGGAAGTATGTAGCCCATAAAACATGATCCATTTGTGGTGAATTATGCTGGAAACATAAATTGACACACGCGGAGCTATGATCGCTCGTGCCATTTTCCATCTTTAATATTTTACAAGAAGTTTGAGGAGTCGAGCTCAAGAAAGAGAGAGTGGAAATAACTCGATCGCTTGGAAACTCCCTGTAGAAAGCAGCAGTGGCAGCAGACTTGGGTCCTCTGATGGGCCAGGTTGGGCTTTTAAAGTCCCTGTAGTGTAGAAGGGAGAAAAAACTGAAGCAGAGGAGGTTGGGGCACTGAGAGCTGTCGGAAACAGTTTCCTCTCATGTCATTTTAGCTGTTTGGTGGGGGTTGTTGAGGTTTTTTTGAGGCAGCTACAGGAAGGTGAAGAATAACCCCCAGTGCAACCCATCCAGTTTGGGGGAAAAAAAGAACTAAAAATGAGCTCAGCAGAAGAAAAATGTGAACCTGTTGGAGTGGGTCCAGAGGAGGCCACAAAAATGATCCAAGGGCTGGAACCCCTCTGCTGTGAGGCCAAGCTGAGAGAATTGGGGTTGCTCAAGGCTCTGGGGAGACCTTATTGTGGCCTTCCAGTACTTAAAGGGGGCCTGTAAGAAAGATGAGGGGACAGACTTTTTACCAGGGCTTGCAGCAACAGGACAAGGGGTGATGGTTTTAAAATAAAAGAGTGTGGATTCAGGCTAGGTATAAGAAGGAATTTTTTATGGTGAGGGTGGTGAAACACTGGCAGAGGTTGCCCAGAGAGGTGGTAGAAGCCCCATCTCTGGAAACATTCCAGGTGAGGTTGGACTGGGCTCTGACCAACGTGCTCTAGTTGCAGATGTCCCTGCTCAGTGCAGGGGGGTTGGACTCGATGACCTTGAAAGGTCCCTTCCAACAGAAACCATTCCATGATTCTCTGAAAACTTGAGAAATGGTGGTGTTTCCCTGGCTGGAGAGAGTGGTGGTCTTGAGATGAGAGTGAACTGACCACAGGACAGGTCCTGCTCACCCGCATGATCTGTTGGGTTGAGCTCTGCTGAGGGACGTGACTCCTAATGGGGCACTCGGGATGTGGAGGAAGCAACAATCTTCGTGCATTCAGCCTCCTCTAGTAATGGCACTACTTAGGAACTGCTAAATACACACATTTGTTAAGAAAAGAGGGTCATTCTGGTGGTTGGAGCCCATGCATCACCTCTGCAAAACACTTGTCTGCACGGCCGGCCGTGATCCATCAGGATCATCTGCCCCTTGCTCTGCAGCAGGGGAAGTCCAGGCAGAAGAAGCCACCGATCCGGCCGGTGCTGGGGCCAAACGCGGGTCCTGGCGCTGCAACATCTGCAAATATTTATGGAGCTAACAACATCCAGAGGGTCTCCTTTCTGCCGGAGCAGAGCAGCCGTGCCAGGAGGGGGCCGCGGCGGTTGCAGCCTGGAGCCAGCATTTCAGATGCTGCTGCTCGTTGCTGGTTTGGAAAAGCAAGAAAGAAAGAAAAAAAAAAAAAAACAACCAAAAACCCCACACAACAACCAAAAAGCCTCTTTCGGCTCCTCCCCGCCTGCTGAGACGTTTTTCACGAGCTGGACATCTGCAGCCACGTTCTCCAGAATCCCTGGCAGGAGCAGCTCCACGTGGGATGATGCCGAGTGTCCCGGGCGCATCCCGGAGAGCAGCTGTGGGCACTGGGGCTCCACGGGCCGCCTGCAGCACCACGCTGCTCTCCAGAGCCCACTGCTGCCGTGGGTTTTTCTCTAGTGAACACACTACCTTGTCTTCTAGAGGCTTTCTCTACAATGAGCAAACGCTGCCCGCTCGGAAACTCGGACCCAGGGCATCATCGCCTGTGGGCTCCTGTGGGCTCGGCTGGGGTGTGCGTTGGTGGCTGTGTTCCCCAACGTGCCTGTTTAACTCCCACCCTCACATGCCATGGGTACGAGAGGGAGGATGTCAGGGATTTAGTCAGGGCTTTAAGAACTTCAGGATGAGGTCTGCGTGCCTGTCCAGTCAGTACCTGGATGACAGTGACCTCCTCCTTGTAGTGCAGCAAAGTAGGTGTTGTGGAGGACCTTGCATTGATGAGACTTGAGGATTGGCTTCTGTGAGTCCTGATTTTTCCCTTCCACTTGCTTTTGTTGCTCATTCACCTCTACTGATCTCCCCTTCCCCAAATCCTGCAGCTGTAACATGTAGGAAGGGTGACTGGTCCTCCTTGTGGGGTGCTGTCCTCCAGGAACCGGTGGTGGGAGGTTGCTGCTGCCCCTGGTGCTGTTTCTATTCACAGAGATGGAGCTAGCCAAAAGTCAAGTTTCATGCATGGAGAGGACTTCTGCTAAAGGAGGATGTTTGATGCTACAGGAAGTTTGTCCACTCTGGTGGCACATGGATGGAGCAGGCAGTTGCGTTGGCACCAGGAGGGTTTCTCTGAGGTGCTGTGACCTCTTCCAGGCAAGGTTTGCCAGGCAGTAGGGGCAGGAGCTGGTTGTCTTCAGCTCCTGGAGGATAAATGATGGTGTAAATGGTGGGACTCGGTGTCCCTGGGCGCAGAGAGGCTGGCAGGAGGCTGTTGGTTGAAATCTGCTTGGCTGTATCTCGCCGTCGAACCGTTCAAATTGGGGGGGAGGGAAGAAAAAAAAAGAAAAAAAAAAAAAGAGGGAAAAAACCCACCCTCTTACTTTATTTACATTGCACTCAAGTTTCCTCCCTACAAAAGATTTGCAGGTGCAAATATGTCCTGCCTTCATTAACTTCCCCTCCCTTTTTAATTTATGTGATTTCAATTTTCCTTCCCTGTACTGTTAATTAGGGGACCCTCTAATCAGTACCATTATCACAGTGGTATTCATGTTTAGGAAAGCTGCTAAACAAATGCTTGCAAAATTGCTAAATGGCTAATTAATGTCTGTTAATTAAGAAAATTGCTCATGGTAACAAACCATGCCATTGCTGGCAGCAGCTAGAAGGCGAACACTTGTTGAAATTAGTAACGAGGCAGGTAGAGAACATCTGCTGGTCCTGGAGCCTGCCGTCGCTTCCCATCACCTCCTGACAGAGCT